GCACTGTGACTCCCTCTAGGATGCCCCTCCAGTGACTTCTATGGAAAAGCAAGCATCACATGGAATTGTCCTTCTGCTGGTACCAAACAGTCAATTTTCCTTTTCTGGTTCCAGCCCTTAGGGTGATTTCAGCATTTCTTCCCTACTGTTTGGCAGGGGCAGCTGTCCTGGAGATTCAGCTGTAAGGGCAAGATCTTTAGGAAAATAAGTTCTTTATAGAAAATGTCAACTGGACCCTGTGGAGGTTGCTTGGAGATCCCACAGGGAACAGCATGGGGCTGTTTGAACATTCCTGAGCCCTGGCCTTGTCCAGGACTGAGGGAAGACTGATTGTGGCCACCTAAGTATCTGGGATGCATGGCTCTGGAGATTTCAGTATCGCCTGCTGATCACTATGAGCAGAAGTTACAAAGGGTGTAGCAGGAGATGCATTCACCAACCTCCTAAATAGTTCCAGGAGCATCAAATCCAAAGTGATGTTTCTTGAAGGAAACATCCCTGTCATCTTGTCCACTCTTGGATCCCCAGGTTGAACCAATGCAGACCAGATTGACTGAGAATATTTTCCAGTTGTAAATAATTCAGTACAGGGTTCTGTATGCTGTTGTGTTCTAAGCACTCCATGAACAAGCACCAATGGAAGGAATAGATGAATATACTGCCTTGGTAACCAGTGGAGTCAGAAGTTCTGCAGAGAATTCTGGAGACTCACAACCAGGAGTCAAGAAGAGCATTAGCTCAAGGAAATAAGAAACTAAGGACCCAGGTGTTTCCAGAACTCTCCTCCTAAGTACTGATCTGGGAGCTTAGCCTCTGTCCTATAACAGGCAGATTTCCTGGACTTCATTGGCTACAACCTAATAGTTGAGACCAGGAGCTTTAGCCTCTGACTGATCTGAGTTCAAATCCATGCTCTGCCACCTGTTAGCTGTTTGACATTAAGCAAATGACTTCAGGCTTTTGAGACTCACTTTTATCATCAATAGAATGAGGCAGTAATTTTATCTAATCTTTGGTTTTCTGGGTCAACTGAGACAGTGCATGTGAAGTATGCCTGGCACTGTATTGGAGCTGTAGAAAGTTGCCATAAACTAATGAACTTAAAACAAGAAAAGTTATTATCTTATAGTTCTGGGGGTAGACGCACAAGCTAGTAAGGAGGTCAATAAATAGTAAGGGTTACCATGTCTTCACCCCCATAGGACATCTCTGGGTCATTCTCTCCTAACCACTTTCTCCTAAATTTAGGCAAGTTCTTGTAGCCTCCGTATGGTTGCTACCCTTTCTATATAAAAACTAGGATCTTTCTACTGGTATTTCAGTAAGAAAAGAAGGATTGAGGTACTCTGGGAATGATTCAAGGAAATAATTGTTTGCCCACCATATGTTAGTTTGGCTGGCCCAGTTTACCTGATGAGTAATTCTAAAATATTTCTCTTTCATCATATGTATCTAAGAATTCTTTTTTTTTTCTTGGTACCAGAGATCAAACTCACGACCTTGCCAAGCAGGTGCTTATGCCACTGAGCTAAATCCCTGGCCCTGTAGTATCTGAAAATTCTTAACAATACAGATTAATTCTTTGTGGAATGATTTATTATTTACTTATTACATGTCTGTGATCATTCAGTCCTGGGGGATGCAGTGCTGGATTTCACAGGAAATCAACCAACAATTAAAGAGTATTTGGAACATCAAATAGTTGTCTATGCCAACCAAGGCTCCCAGGAGTATACATCTAGTGTTGAATTAGTTGGGTTTATTGGCTAATGGCAGTAAAGGAATAGGTATAACAGGGAACCATGGGGCTTCTCAAATACGTAGAAGGAACCAGATATGAAGTTTGGGGTTGTGTTTGGGAGAGATTTCAAGGAAGTGGAACTTTATTCTGGGATGGATGCTTCCCAGAAACAGGTATTATTCTGTATCTGGGTATCTATATTAGTGTCCAGTTGAGACTGCAACAAATTACTGTAACCCTATTGGTGTAAAACAAAAAAGGTGTAGTTCTAGGGGTGTCTTAGTTACTTTTCTTTCAATGCTGAGACAAATTATCTGACACCCAAAGTTAAAGGGGAAGTATTTATTTAACTCACAGTTGTGGAGATTTTGGTCCATAATCTGCTGGCTCCAAGGCTGGGTGGCACATGGCAGAGGGCAACCATTCATGGCATCAGAAGACAGCAAAATTAGCAAACAAGGAGGGGAGAAACAAAACTCCTTTTATCTTATACAGACTTCTGAGGTTAGGGTGGTGCCAATCCAATTGGTAGACTGACCCAGCAATCACCCACCCAGCACTGAACCATCAATCAACCACAAACTCTAGATTCAACTACTTTCAAAAAATCCCCATCTCAAAGTGCAGGGGGCTTTGAGGGGACATCTAGACACAAACCATAACATGGGGGAAAGACATCCAAAATCAGTTTCACTTGGTTAATAGGGTATCAGCAGGGCTGGTACCTCTGGAGGGTCCAGGAGGAAAATCTGTCTTCTTACCTTCCCTAGCTTCTAAATGTTGCTGATATTCCTTGGTTTTTGGCCCCTTACTTAATCTTCAAAGCCAGCAGCATGGTGTTATCACATCCCCTTCACTGACTCTGTCTCTTATAAGGAGGATGGTATTTACATTGGCCTACTGGAGAGGCCAAGATAACCTCTCCATCTAAAAGTCTTCAATTTAATTACACCTACAGATTTCCTTCTGCCATAAAAGTGATAAAATTACAGGTTGTTGAGACTCAGATGTGCACATTTTTGAAGGGAGAGTATTATTCAGTCTACCACAGTAACTGGCAGTTCTTATCTACAACACGAGAAGAACAGAACAAGCTCCAAGTTGTAATTTGTAAAACAACAAAAACCATTCATGTTAGCCAGAATGTGAGGGGTGTTTGGCCGTGTTGTGTTTTGGACATCGCTGTTGTTCTTGTCTGTGTTTAATATGATTATGGAGGTGTCTAATTTTGTCTTAAACCATCGTGGAAACAGACTAGTATTGTCTGATGTTACATTTCTGTGAAGCTGTTTATGTTCGACAGGAGAACATGGCTGCTGAGCTGCAGATGACATGCCTGCTCCTAGCTGTCAGGGCCTGCTTTATTCTTTTTCATGATGATGAATTCTTTGAAAAACTATAAGACAGTCTGCGGAGGTAGGGAAGATTGTTGTGCAGTGTGCTTGTATTTTGCAGGCATAGTCAAGGAGGGCATCACTGATGAAGCTGACATTTGAGCAGAGGCTTGAAGGGTCTGAAAGCAGAGCTTCTGTGTCACGAGGAGGTGGAGAATTCCAGGCAGAAGGATAATCAGGAAATAACCCTGAGACGGAAATGTGCTCTTGCATGTGACAAATAGAATGGAGTTGGTGATGTCTCCAAAAGTTTTGTCCTGAGCAACTGGAAGGGTGGGGCCTTTGTTTATTGAGATGAGAAAGATTGCATTTCATTGCAGGCAGAGTTTAATTCTTAAAATAAGCCTGATTTTAAGCTAGCTTAAGAATTTTTTTAAAAATGAAAATAATAGTTTCCATGTATCTCAGTCTCTTTTATTCTTAATATGCAATAGTGTATATTTGTCACAATAAATGATTGAATGTTGATGTACTGTTATTACCTAAGGCCCAGGTGTTATTCATGTTTCCTTAGTTTTTATCTAATGTCCCTTTTCTGCTGTGGGGTCCATTCAAGGTGCCACTTCATATTAGTTGTCATGGCTCCTTAGGTGCCTCTTGACTGAAGCAGCTTCTCAAACTTTCCTTGTTCTTGACGTCCTTGACAGTTTTGAAAAATGCTGATAAAATATTGCATAGACCATTCTTCAGTTAGGACTTGTCTGATGTTTTCCTCGTGATTAGACTGGGGATATAAATTTTGGAGTAAGACAAAGTACCCTTCTCATCACTTCACACCAAGGGTACAAACTATCAACATGCCTTGTCATGATGATGTTAACCTTGAGCATTCACAGAAGGTAGTGTTTTTCACATTTATTGTTTCTTCTGTAAAGCTGCAGGTTTTGCCCCCTTTCTGTGTTATACTGTTTGGAAGGAAGTTATCATGGGCAGCCTACAATTAAGGAATCTCACTAATGCAAAGTATCCAGGTAAATTATTTGGAATTAGTCTGTGTTTATCTAGTACCCTCCATTTACTTATTTACTCAATTATTTATATCAGTATGGACTTGTGGGTTATTTTATACTTTAATAACACATTATTTATTATATTTAACAAATGTTCTAGCCTCGAATAGTGGGAGCTCTTTCATTTGATTCTAATGGCTTTTGACATTTCCCCAAAGTTATAATTAAGCACGCATGCTGAGGGGTGGGGTCGCATGTGTATTTAGTACTTTCCTAGTTTTTGGCACTATAATATGCTTCAGACTTGTCTTACCTATTATTTGCATTAACCCTAGACACAGCTATTGCTCCAAGGAGCTCAGGCACCCTTTTACTGGAGAAAAGTATAAGAAACCATGGTCTGGATGTCAGATGTGTTTGCTGCTGGTGGGATGCTTTTGCTTCTGGTCCAGGAACTGATCCTGGTAATATTAAGTTAAAGCATTTCAGAGAGGAATATGGATCAAGAGAAGGATTTCTAATTAATCTTTTTTTTTTTTTTGGTATCAGTGATCAAACTCATAACCTCAGCTTGCAAGGCAGGTGCTTACGCAGTTGAGCTAAATCCCTGGCCATTAACTAATCATTTTTTACAGGCAGCTGTTATAATATGCTTTATGCTTATGGTAATAACCCAGTTAGAGAAGAAAATAGATGATTCCACCAAAAGAGGAGACAATGACTGCAGTGTTATATATATATATATATATATATATATATATATATATACACACATATATATGTATTTGCTCTTACTCTGTTAAGTGCTTTATCTAGATTATTAAATATTCACGTAATTCTACAAGGTATATTAAGAAACTGAGGCTCAGAGTGGTAAAGCAATTTAATCAAGGTTAAACAATTCATGAGTGGCAGATCCAAGATTCAAATCTAGATTTCTGACACCAAAATCCATGATCTTAGTGTGACCTTTTTTTTAAATCCTTGGGAAATTCCCTCTTTTCTTTATTTACTTCTTTTTCTTCAGGTGAAAGAGTCTTCACAACAGTGGACATAGTGACCTTTTCTTAGCCTAGACTTTGAAGTCCTCTCCTTCTCCAGGACTACATGAAAAACCAATACTTCCCGAGGCCTTTGAAATTTTTCACATGTTCCTCTCTTCCAATGAGGGGCCCAAGATGTTCCATGCCTCTCTTCCGCCTCTCTTCCTCCCTGTCTTCATCCATCCATCCATTCATCCTAGAAATACAATGAGCACCTGATATGTGTCAGATGCTGGGGATGCAATGGAAAATTAAGTTGACATAATTCATGCCTGCTCTTCTGAGACTTAAAGTTTCCTTTTTTTAGGACTTTTAGACAGGAGTGGCTAATTTCATGATGGGAAGCAACGGTGACCTTTTACTGCTCTGTGGGCTAAGGCAGATAAGATGAAGGCAAAGGTTGGGTGCTGAACCACAGGGAGAGGTGGGGGCTGAGCTGAACTGCAAAGCATACGGCCCACCTAGGGGACCAGTCACTTCCCAAACGAGCCGAATAAGGTCCTGAGCCCTAGTGTTAGAATTGCATTTCGCCAAAAGAAGATAGAAGTGAGTGCTTTTATGTGAGAGCTCCCAATTTTAAGATTTTGGTAGTTTATTCTCATAACCTCTCTTCTCCCCACTTCCCTATTTGCCCCCCTCCCTGCTTTGAGTCTCCTCTAATCTACGGGGTGTACTTCTCAATGTTTGGTTTATTATAATCCAGTTACTTAGGTAAGCACAGCAATCCCTATTTAATGAATATTATTTTCTCCTTGTGGCTCTTTGGTCTTTTTTTAATGTAAGATTAGAATTTCAGTCCTGGAAGTGTTGTCATTTCCCTGAAATATGCTTGTCTGGTAGTTCAAATACTGCCCTACACCTAGAGCATATATGCATAAATGTATTTTCAGTTAAATAGGTGTTAATTTTTCAATAGTTAGCTTTAATCCTTAAAAGTCACCTTGTCTATGAAAAATGTCAGGAAAAATGGATGATAGGAAAATTGAAGGCTTCCAGAGTCCACCGTGAGAGAAATAGTAGGAGCTGAAGGGCCTGGAATTGGGGCACAGACAGTCTTCCCTGTCTGGGTCACTGAGTTGAATCCAGCCCAAGGCAAACTGTCTAGAACGTGTAAGCATCAACAGCTGCGCGGTGGACCATGTGCGAGGGACGTGGGCTCTGTCTGCGGTCATAGAACTTTCCTACCCCTCCCCGTGCTATGGTGCCGTCCTTCAGACCATTCTGTGAACACTGCCAGCTCTCTCATCCCTTGGTCACTGGATGTAGAAACAGAGAGAGAAGGAAGAGAGGATGCCATGTTTAGATGGTCTAAGAAGCCAGGGTTCAAGTTTTTGTCTTGAGCTCAGGTTCTTTGCTAGCTATGTCTAAGATGTTGCTTCCTTCATGTTAGGTGTTCCTGGGTTGCTATTAGGGTCCTTACTATATCTTTGTACCAACTGTACTATTATTTACTATTATACTATTATTTACTACTATACTATTATTACTAGTTAAGAAACTGACCCATAGTTTTACTAAATAATTAATTTTATAAGGCATACTTAACTCATTACATTAATAAAAAGCCAAGACTGCTTGCCTTAAGTAGAAGGCAACCATATAGTACAATAATAAGTCACATTCCTATTATAGTTTTATCAATATTTATCCACATATGAGTTACACTTATAGTGCATATAATTTGTGGACTATATGAGGGCTATGTCAATCTGGGAGGAAAAGGAAAGATTGTTTCTGCTCTGTTTATCCCCTGATGACAGGTCAGATTCACCATTCTTCTGTGTCTTTTTTTGGGAAGCTAGTGGTTCATTAATTTGTTCATTCAGTTAAGCCTCTATTCCAAGCCCAGCAAAGGTCTCAAGCCCTACGATTCTTTCTGATTTTAGCTTGATAGGTCATGAATGTTGGCGTGCTTTGGCCTGGGTTTTTTTTGTGTCTCCAAGGCTGATAGCTGGGCTGATGCTTAGACAGGACACACCACAACAGTCGCACCAGCTCTGCAGCCAGCACCTATCTGGAGTGCCAGGTGGTTCAGGTGGGTTTGGTCCAGCTGGATTTGTTGTTGAATGTTTGAATATCACCCTAAATGGCAGGTAATAGAAAAAGATTCAAATTAATGTAAACAAAAGTAAATGTAATGGAAGGAAATGAGGGCTAATGGATTTCTTTGGAGGCTGAAGAACTTAGATTGGGAATGGGGTGCAAACAAGGCAGCATGGCCATGCAGGGATGCCAGGACTCATCAACATGGTTAGAACCCGAACACTGGTCAGGAATAGACCCATCAGGCCCAGGATCGTGGGCCTTCTTCTCAGGAGTAAAACTCTAGGGCAGTAGTTCTTGAGTGCTATAGGCTGTGGTCACAGGGGCTCACTTTGATTGCAAAGGGCAAGACCCAGATCATTATCCCAAAGAGGAAAAGACAAGTTTCCAAAAGGCAGTGGGTGGTTTTAGAAGCTGGAAGAGAATTCTAGTGGTCAGAACCACTTAGTATTTTTGATGTTTTGGGGTGCACCCTTAAACTCCCTAGAGGGGTTACTTGCTGGGGCTTTGGAGCTGCTTTATCCATTGTGGCTCTGCCAGGAGAAATGGCACATTGAGTCGCAACCAGAGGGAGACACAGATTGTCAGTGAAGCCAGAAATAGTTTGAGAATGGATTTTGCTAGAGAAAAATGATCTAATGTGTTAGAGGTTTTCCAACTTTAGCCATTTGAAATATAGTGATATGATACCCCCTACACACACTGCAACAAAACAGAACGAAGCATAAAAGCTCATGAAACTATACTTATCCTACTGATAAATACACTCTGCATTTTAATTCCATTGTTCTCTCCATTGTTTTATTTTAAAATGCTGGTCACCCTTACTAGTATTGATTTTGCATGGATCCACAGTTTATTTTTTTAAACTGATGCATGTTTTTAGTACGTAAAATTTACACTTGTTTGAGGAGATTGCTACATGTGTAACATATCTTAATTTTAAAATGTTTTTATACACAAACATTTTGTTGAGAAGCCATTTCAGATCTGAACACAAAATTTCTAGTGGAGTTTTCAGCCTGAAAAATATAAATTGGAATGATGTGTTTGACTTAATGGAAGAAAAGCTTGAGGAATATGTTTTATCCATATCATATCCAAGATGTGATTATAATATGGTACATCTTACTTAAAAATTAAAATATTGATTGCTTATTTCCATAGGGACTACATTTTTATATTTTATAAATTATAAGAAAATAAACCCATACTTCAGATATTAAGAAATACTTAGTGGGCTGGGGGGCGGACTCAGTGGTGGAATACTACTCTAGCACATGTGAAGTTGTGGATTTGATTCCCAGCACCACACACACACACACACACACACACACACACACACACATAATAATTAGTAGCATTCAAAAAAAGCAGCATTATATTATTATTAGGCAAACATTCATTTAGTTTCTTTTTTTCCTTGGAAAGTCTTTTAAAGCTAATGTCTTAATATGTTCACGTGTCTGCAGTATGAAAAGGGTGGTATCTGGATATAGTTTATTGATCTCCTCAGGAGAATCTAGGATCTATACATTTTGCTGGAAATGCCATTTTCACATTTATATTACAGTTATCTATTTTTTATTAGTCCATGTTTGCGGTCCCTAACGTTTATGTTCCTTGGGCAGAGCTGGTCCGTATAGACACCACATCTTCATTCCGTTTTTTATCTGCTTTGCCTCCCATCCCTACTCCCTCTGCATCTCTTGATCCCATTCTCACTTGAGAAAGATCTGTCTCCATACTTCCTATTATTTATCTTTTATTTTGTTCTTTAATTATACTTTGGGCATCTCATATGAGAAACACTGTGTGATGTTTAAGCTTATATGTCTGGTTTATTTCACTTAACATTATAGTCTCAAGATGCATCTATTTTGTTCTTTATCTTTATTTTATTTTATTTTTTGAGACAGGGTTTCACCACGCAGTTCAGGCTGGTCTTAAACTCACTGTGTAACCCTGGATGGCCTTGAACTCACAGTGATCTTCCTGCCTCAGTCCTCTGACTGCTGGAATTACAGATGTGTGCCACCATGCCTGTGAGCACAGCTGGCCATTTTCTTACAAATGACTCAAATGTATCCTTCTTCACCACAGAATAGAGCTCTGTTGTGTGTAAATATCTCATCTTATTTACCCGCTCATCTGCTGGTGGACATACAGAGCGTTTCCATGATTTAGCTGTTGGAAATTGTGTCCGTGCCGGCGTGGCTGTGCTTGCATTCACAGCAGTGATGGAAGCTCGCTGTCTAGAAATACCCAAAGCTTACTGGTTTTACTAGTAAAGGCAGAGGAGGCGGGAACTGGAGAATAAATAAAACCAAAGCTTGAGAAGCTAATCAGTGAGCTATGAAGAGGAGAGAAACCGAGAAAGGAGGTCCTCCTGAGGAATAAAGTAAGTTAATAGTGTTAAGAACAAGGAGCCAGAATAAATGAAAAAGAAGAATCAGAAAAAGAAGCAAAAAGATTAATGGAGGGCAAAGTACAGGAAATAAAAATATAAGAAAGAAATAGGGGAAAAGTTGAAAGGAAAAAAGAGAAATAGCAAACAATGAAAAGAAGAGGTAAAAAGGACAAAAAAACCTCCAAATGCCCAAAATGCCTGATGAAGAAAAGAAAAAAATTAAAAATAGAAAAATTTTTAAAAGATGGGTCAAAGAAAAATTTCCCGTGTCTTTGAATGAGTGTTTTCCCCCCAAGATTTAGTCTTAGGACCCCGCCAGTCAACATTTTCTTCACCTACCTTTAGGGTCTGCGGGTTTTTGAAGTCCCCACAATGCACCGGAGCCCCTCCATCCATGCACCCCGGACTGTGTTACAGTCCAAGCCAAGATGTGTCCTTGTTCCCTTTGGAAGATGGAAATACAGTTAGCTCTCTGGTCTCTGCTGGATGTAGGCCATGGGGTAGGGGTTCAAGTGCACTGTTGATCTTAATGTGGATAGTCCCAGGGTCTTGTTGCTCCTCTCTTTTTGCAAGCAAAAATGTCCTCGGTCAGGATCAGCTCGGTTGATTAGTCCTCACAACTGCTGCTCCATGCCAAGGGGAAGCAAAGTAATGTGGAGCTGGCTTGGACTGGTGGATGGTCTCACCCTTGGGGCGAGGGCAACATGTACCCTGTGTGGTCCTGCTTGTTTACACAGAGCGGAGGGACACCATCTGATCAGGTCTGAAATGTCCAGGGATGATGAGGGGCTGTGGGGACCCAGGAAAGCTCTCCACTGTAGGGAAAATGTATCCTGGGAACACCTGGAGAACAGACCCTCCTGTGGGCCTCTGTGCTCCTTTCTTATTTGGGAATTTAGTACTGGTTTTCAGAGACCCTCAGGGTAGGAGCAAAACTCCAGACACAGGAATTATGCACCCAAAGCACAAAACGCAGACTTGGAGGAGAAAACCGACCACCTTAATTATTTTCAGTCCTTTTCTCCTTGCTCTGCTCCTTCCTAGGAACCCTTTCTCCTTCCCCAAAGCCTCTTTATTTCGCTTTTAATTTATTTGTAACTGATGATCTCATATGAAAGAAACCATATACTATTTGACTTTCTGCGTCTGACTTATTTCATTTAACGCCCCTCGGACAGTGGTGTTAAATTTTACTAAAATGACTTGAATTCATCCTTCTTTATGACTGAATAAAATTCCTCTGTTAGATACACTGCCTTTTCTTTATCTAGTCAATCATTAATAGATCTGCAGTTTTCAAACACTGACATGGAAGGTCCAGATTCAAAGCTGGCCCCTCTGCCATGCTCGCTGCCTGTGGGGCGCTCCACAGTGCTGATCTCTGCCCACAAAATCAACCATGTGTGTAAGACAAAGCATCTTGAGACCTCTTGAGTTACCTCCCAAAAGTTGGACCCTCCTGGTGTTTCCCCCTTTCCCTAATCTGAAGAAATATTCCCCGATTATAATGCTGGCTGTGTCTAAGCAGAATTGTGTGCACCTAGTTGTGTGCCAGCCATTAGCTGCTGCCCCGAGCACTCTGCATAAATCACCTTTTTAAAATCCTTATCACAACACTTCACAAGAAATAGAAACATGCTCATCCTTACTTTTTGTACAAATAAATTTGATGCTCAAGGAGATTTTATAGCTTATTCAAGGTCACATAGCTTTGTAGAGTTGGAGTTGAGATTTAAACCCAGAGTTCTTCTAACTTCAAATTTTTTAAAATAAGTATTTCTCCTTAAGCCATATAAGGCTGGGGGCTGAATAATTTAGATAAACCCCAGAGCAAAATATTTGCTTTCTCATAGAAATTCCTAGTTTTCTTTCCAAATAACAGTACTCATCCCGGGCCCAGAGCTTCTGGTGGGTTGTCACAGCACACAGCTGCACGTGAGGCTCAGGGTGGGTGCCGGCCAACACTGATGACTGAGCCTTGCTGACTGCCAGAGACACATTCCTCTGAACCCCAAGGGCCCTGCCATCTGGAGAGATGCTTCTCTTTTAGGGATTGCTAAACCCAGCAGCCCCTCCATAGCAGCAAACATACCTTCCACACGCCTGTCGGTTGGCTTAGAAGAGATTAAACCAAGAAAAACAGCCAACTCGAGAGAGCAGGAAGACAACACAAGTGTTCAAAGAGCACCTACGTTTGCAGTCCCCTAAATACACAGCAGGCTTAAACGAGGGCTTCCTGTACCTACAAAAATGGTTGCTATTACACCAGCACAGGCATTCTGAAGGTCACCTGGGCGTGGCAATATTTTACAATCCAGACAGCTGACAGAGACCCAGTGCCTCCCCGCTTCTTCTTTCCTAATAACTGTTTACTTCTTCTCATCCTCCCCTGACATTTATGGAGTACCTAGTTATACGAGCAGAAAAATAAAGCAAGGCTCGGTTACTATTGAGGCGGATGCAGTCGGCTCCCTTCCAGAACCGCCTGGTACAGGGCTTTGTGTCTTGCCTAAGGCATCACCTTTCTCTTTCTGTTCTTCTGTTCTCTTTCTGCAAACTCCTCCTTGTGCTCCCCAGGGATAAAGACAAATTAATGTGTGTAGTGGAGACCAGCGCGTGGTGCCAGCAGGATTTTAAGGCAGTCAGTTTTCTCTGGGTAGAAATGATAGGCTTAGCTCCTCATGGTTCCTCAACTGCTAGTCAAACATGCTAATTAGAACCCCACAAATGAGCAAAGGCTCCAAAGAGGGTGGTTTAAAGCTGGATGAGCACAGAACACTATTCTGGACTCCACTTTTCCTGTTGCTTAAAGCCTCCTTCCCTCCATTTCTCCTCAGTAAGTACTGATATACCGTCTCAACCTGTGTTCTCTTGCTTGCTACAAGGGATGATAATCTATGCTTTTCCTGACAATGTCTTGCCATCATCTTTATTATGCTTGACAAGTAATACATCACTTTGGTGTCTGATCAATTCATATTCTGTAAGAGTTGGTATTGATATCTCTGTTGATCATTATATGACTGCTCGTGGTAGGGGGGCTGAACACATGTTTATGGAATTACATAATTTTAAAAATGGTGTGAGCAACTACCCAAGTGAGAGTCTTAGTGCCTAGATGTTGAATAAAGCCCATGTCTATCTAGAAATCTTTCTGTGTTCCTGGATAGTATCAGATGGACGGTTCTCAAAGGTACTCATGAGATCTCTTGAGTCCATCAACAAACACATCTCTGGATCAGGGCAAAGTTGTATCAGCTAGTTGATCATCACAATCATATCTGACAATGTGCTCCTTGTCATAGGACCTAATCATAAGGAAATCTAAACCTAAGAAAAAAATTCAAATGTTACAGTGAGAGAAATTTTGGAGACATTTGGATATACCTTTGTAGTTATATGAAGGATTACTACAGCCTTATTTCATGATCTGGTAAATATTAGTTTTCAGTAATATGTCCTAGAACTTCACAATTCGGACTCCCCTTCAGGACCCCAAGCTGCCCCCAGGTTCTTATCAGTTTAGAGTTGAAAAAACATTAGATATAACTGAATCTAAGTCATCCTGTTTCACAGATGAATATTGAACTAACTGAATCCCCTTCCTTTAGTCTTCTTTCCTTCTTCTTTTGGGAGAAGGGATTGAACCCAGGTTCTTGGCACTGAGTTACACCCCTCCCTTTGAAGTTTCTATTTTGAGACAGCTGTTCCTAAGACACTAAGGTACCTGGGCTTTGGTTTCCTGAATGCTGGGATCATAGGCATGCACCTTTGTGTATTGAAAATCTACTAGAAACCAGGAACTGAACTCAGTGCTGCCAGACCATGGCTGGTACACTCTTTGCCCTTATGTCATTTGTATTCCGATGGGGAGGAAGTCACTCAAAAGAGCAAAGAGTAAGATCCTCTGAGACAGTGGTGAATACCGGGAGAGTGCCTGGGAGGGGATGGACCCAAGAACAAGGGAATAGTCTCTGTAAAGAATAATATTCAAGTTGGGCTCTGACAAAAAAGAATCCAGCCTTGTAAAGCTCAAAGTGAAAAAGTTTCTGACTGCTTCTCTCACAAATATCACAAGATGGGAATAAATTGTTACACTCAAGAACAGGAAGAAGCCCAATGTGATTGGATCACAATGTTAGCGAGTTAGGAGAGAGATTTAAGATGGGAAAGATGGGCAGTGTCACATCAAGTACACTTCCATAAGTCATGGTGTTTTTTAAATTTCATTTTTTGTGCAATGGGGAGCCATTATGATTTAAGCAGGAAAGTAAAACAATACAATTTTTAAAGGACTGTTTTGTCTTTGGCTGTCTAAGGAAAATAGTTCACAGGAGAGTGACAAAGAAAAAGCATGCAGTATAGGTAAGAAAGAGGATATGTGATGATCGAAAACAAACCTAAATCTTCAATGATGCAGTGAGACAGTGGAAGAGCCAGGGGCAACAAATACTAACAACAAAGGGATTTGGTGCCATTGGGAAAAAATATCATTCACTAAGTGTTTCATGTTTTCCAGGCCCTTTGCTATATAATTTATAAACACCATTCTATTTCATCACAATTTTTGAGATAGGCTCTCTTACTGTCCCTATTTTGCAGATAAGCAAAACAAAGCTTCACAATTTTAAGTATTCTGGCCATGTTCACACCGATAGCAAGTGACAGAGTGGTAAAGGGGGGACTGAAACTCAAACTAGTCCAACTACCTGATTCTATAAGCCACAAAAGCAGTCCTACTGCCTGCAATGAGGGACCGTATAGCTCAGTGGTTTTGCAGGTGGGTGTCGAGGCCAGGAAACCCGCATTCAGCGTCTGTGCTGCCAGGCAAGCAAGGAACTCTGCATTCAAATCCTTGATATCTTATTGACTTTGTGATCTTGGGCAAGTAATTTCATTAACTTCTTATTGCCTGTATTTCCTGATCTATAGATTGAGAATAGTAACAATAATAGATTCTAGCTCATGGGGTTTCTAAACCAGCAAGCCTTCAGTAAACAGCATCATGATTATTAATCATAGCAGGTGAATGGGAGCCAGGTATCAGCTTCTACAATCCCAGGGCTTAACCCAGATTAGTGCTCAAGGTGGGGTGGCAGGAAGTGATCATTTACTTGAAGTCCTATGAGATCCTTACTGATTCTGATTCCAAAGGAGGTGGAGGAAGCACACAAGTATCCACCTCAGCCAGAGTTCCCAAGGCATGAGTGAGTCTTCCATGGAAGTCCTGATCCAGCCAGAGGGCAACTCAGTGTCTGCCCGAGTTCCATCAGGCAGGTGCCGGGGAAAGGAGTCATCAGAAACAAGTCCTGTAGAATGGACTAAAAATCCGGTGGTGATTGGGGAAGTTGTTTGAAGAGATGCTTCCCACCTCCCAAATGAAAGCAGAGGAGAAAACATTAAAAGATTTTCATCTCTAGGCAACGGTTCAGAGAGACCCAGA